TGCTCTTTGCTGGATGTTTTTCCCCCACCACTCCCAAAGTGGCGGGGGTGGTGCCTGGGAGCAGCAAGAAACTTGCCTGGTGTTTACAGAGTAGGGTTGCCAGATAGTTTCACAAAAAATACCGAACATAGTGGGGAAAAAAAATGGGTTGAGTTTAAAAAAAGCAGCTCGGGGACCAAAGTTGTTGAACAAAAACAACAACAAAACCCCCAACTGCACAAAAAAAATGATGCTCCCCCGCCCCTACCAGACGCAGCAGAGGAAGAATGTCCCAAGCAGCCTTTCATCAGAGAAAAACATTTTGCATGTCCAGTATTTTCTGGGTTTTTTTTAACCGAACAGAAGCTCAAAAAAAACTAGACTGTCTGGGCCAATTCTGGACACTTGGCAACCCTGTTACAGAGCACCAAGTAAGTGTCCCACTCCTATCCCCCTTATGCCCTCCCTAGCCTGGAAAAAATCTTTAACTTGGCAAACCTTGATACCAAGGGTTGCCAAATTAAAGAGGTTCAAGTGAACTAGATATCAACCAGAGAGAGAATCTTACCTCAGCTAGAAAATCAGCTTCATTGTCAGCTGTAATATTTAAACCGGAGACCTCATTGAAGAGCTCCCGTTCATTAAGTGCTTCTGATACACCTCCCTTCTGGAAGAACTATTAAAAATAAAAGATTACAGTGTCTTTAACCACATTTTATAAAATATTGCACAGTGCATTTTATGAACTACAATTAATAATCAAGTATGGAAGTAGCACTTCAGCTTTGACTCTTTTTTCCTCCAGACAACCAAGCATCATGGTCCCAGAGCAGGTTTTGATTCCAGGAGCACTATTTTATTCTTCTTCTATAGTAAATTTCAGTCCAATATCATATTTCTGTGTCTAACACACACCATTCAGCATTTACAAGTGAATTTGTATAGATAAGCTATCACTTAAACTGAAACTGATGATTTTATCAATTTAATGTATTAAAAAATCAGCTCCCCCCCCAAAAAAAAAACTTTTACATCAGAGTTTAACTGCAGAAAAAACACAAGCAAAAATCAACTGCAGAACCCCTACCTGTGAAACATTTCTGCAGTCTCTGAACAAAAACTCAAGTCCATGAGGATGGGTTGGCTCCACAGATTGACTTACATCAATTAACCAGATCTAAAGTAAACAGAAAAAATATACTGGTTCACACATGCAGGGGTGGGGAACTTCCCACCTGTGGGCTGGATTCAGCCCATTGCTTAATTTCATCTGGGCCACTGCAAATCCCTTCGGCATTGGCCGGAAGCCCTAAGCCTCTGCTTGCTAGCATATCTCTGTGGCCCTGAGGTGCAGGAGAGAGGAGGGAAGTTCCATATGCTGCCCCAACTGCTAATGCAAACTGCAGCAAATGGGAGCTGTGGGGACAGAGCCTGTGGATGCATGTAGCGTGCACCACGCAGAGCTGCTTGGCCTCTCTTAGAAGCAGTTGCTATGTGCAGCTGTTTCCAGGAGCAGCATGGGACCAGGACAAGCCTACCAGGGAGCCTGCCTCTGCCACGTTGAAAGGGAATCCTGCCTTAGGTAAGCCCGCCCAGCTAGACCCTGCAGCCCCATCCCAACCCCCACACTCCAACTCCTCCCCCACACACACCCTGACCCAATTTGTGGCTGGAAGGTTGGAACAGCCTTATGCTCCCCACACTCCTCCCAGACTGCACTATTGATGTTAAAATGCATATAATTAAGTAACCATGTAACTGTGGGGCTGCATGTGTCTCACAGTTGTTTTTTTTGCATGTCCCCACCCCTGACATAGTGCATATAGACAACATTAAGTACACCTTTTTTCTACCTTAAGAATATGCTCACCTTTCCGTCATGCCATAGCATGTTGTATTCACTCAGGTCAGCATGGACAAGACAGCACTCTTTATATAACTGTTGCATCATCTGGGAGGGGTCAAAAAAATGATCCATTAAGCAAAGAATACTCAAATGAGTGGTTATTAATCAGCACGATTTGTACAACCAGCCAAAGCAAAGCACTGTTTCACCCCAAGTGGTATTCACATTTCAAGTTTACATGCAGTCGGTTAATGTGAGGAATTGTGACCTCAAGTCTTCTACTCCTGTTCAATAGAAACTAAATGTTCAGAATTTCAAGGAAAACAGTTATGGTAAAGAAATGAATTAAAACTAGTGAACTTATATGAATTCTGTCCACCAGTCCCACTGCAACAGACAGATAGGCATGTTGGACTTACACTTTTACTCCACCCTCTATCAAACAGATAAGCAGTCACAGATGACTTTTCACCCAATCATGACAACTTCATTTTGTGTATTTTTTTCCTCAACTTCACCAATAAGAGTCAAAGTACTTCAATGCTAACTAGGAGAAAGAAACCTTTAAGATTCAGCTTTACACTATTCATTACAGGTTTATGCATCTACATTATATCCACAGACAGATTAAGTTCAGTTTAAATAACCTGTATAGCTCTGCAAGTCTCAGGGTTAACTATAAGAAATTTTTAGTTTCCATTTAGTTTCTCTCACTAGAACTATAGAAAAACAAGGCATAACAGTAATTGAGAGTATGTACACAGCTGACAATGTATTATTTGATCAAGCTGAAGTGGAGAATAAAGCAATTAAGTATTTACAATACCCGGTTAAAAGCTATAATTTTATTCTCTAGCACTCACGTTAATGGGTATACAAGACTGGTTGAGGCAGTTAAAGGGCTTTAGAGTAAAGTTCTCCTCTGTTTTTGTTTTTTAAACCACAATAACTTTCATCCCAAATACCTCATTGCTTTCCTCCCCCCCCAAAAAATCAACAAGACTGTTTGATTAATGGAGCCATTTAAATGTTATTTAGCAAAGGTATATTAAAGAGATTAAAATAATACATTTATATAGGATCAGAACACCTAATTAAGAGGAGCCACTCACTAAATCGCTAATATTCTTTACTCCTTAGGGAATTCTACACCAAAAAGTTTATGCCCAATATTTTGAAATTTGGCAAATTCTGTCAATAAAATAAATGCAGAAGCTCCAGCATGGTGTGGGCAGGCAGGCTTAGCCTGACAAGATCCAAGTGTGGAGGGGCATAGTGTGGTGGGGATCAAGGTGTGGGGCGAGAGGGCTCTGTATGGGACAATCTGGATACACAGACATTTGCTGGGGGTGGAGGGTTTGGGTGCAGGGTAGTGGGACTCTACATGGGGATTCCAGATTAAGATGGTTTTGACCTGGTAGGGTATGCATCCCAGCAGGGTGGGGGGTGCCAGTGTATAGTGGTTGGACACATGGGAGATCAGACCCCCCCCCCCCCCACAGAGGAGGAGTGATCGGGGCAGGAAAGGGGGAGAGGAGATGGGTCTGAACCAGCACCAGCCCTTGAAGAGGAAGAACAAGTCCCATCCCCTCAGCCTAGGGGAGACTAGCAGCTGAGCCCAGCACAGGGTATCAGCCACCAACCATAACCCTAGCCACCCCCAGTGACTGGCCCTCCAGAAATTGCTCCAGGAACTTAAAGTGACATGCCCACACTGCTGGGGAGGGACATGTGACTGCTCGTGGCTTTCTTTTGTTTTCCCATCAGAAAATCATTTTTCTACAGGAAAACAAAGAAATCTGCAGAGAACATGAATTCTGCATGTACACAATGATATAGAATTCCCAAGACTGATTTTTCCTGAACCTAAGACATTTTAACCAGGAATAGCTGTTTTCTACCAAGGACCAGCTTGCCACTGGTCAGCATTAAGATTATCTTCCCAAGTTAATTCCAAGTCTAATTTTTCTCTACTGCATAATTTCTGATTTATCTGTTTATTCATATGCCACAAAATATATCTAGTGCAAAACACTGCTGATATGGAGGTTCAGAAGTTTTATATACTGTAAAGAATTCAAATATACAGCTTGCTAGCTATACTACTCTACCACAAATTGTTAGCAGATGTTGAATAAAGACATTGGCATCATCTTACATGAAGAATCTGATAGTAGGCCTTCTTCATGTCTTCACTATTCAGTTTTACTTCCTTTAGTTTAGGAGCTGGAACTTGATCCTGGCCAATGAAAGACATGACTAAAACATGCTTCTTAAGCAAAACCACTTGTGGACAAGAGATTCCTGCTTTTTGCATTCTGTAGAGCAGAAAATAGATAATTGCAAGAGTAAGTCAAATTCATACTAGCCCTTCTCTAGTTCTAAAATGCTTTTGCAAGATTATTCTGGATCAGTGTAGCAATTCACATAGAATACACATGAAAGCACTGGAGCCATACAATGGATTCCAACAACATTATGCCTTGAAATCCACACATCTGTTGGTTTCATTTCAGATTGCAATTTTCAGTGTTAGAAACTAGTTGCTTCAAAGATGTGATTACAATAGAGGTCTGGCAACAGATGTTAAAAATTACCAATAGTGGACACTTTACTTTAAAAATTTCTCAACAAACAAAATAAATGTGCTAATTTTACTCCAAGTTACATAATCATGAATTTAAAAACATATAAGGAATAAGGGGATGAACATTGTAGTATCTCAACTTTATGAATAAAATTAAATTCTCACATCTTAGTGCATGTACGAGTTAACTTATATATGAAGGCCCCCACATCAAAACTTCCTTGAAAAACAAAAACAGTCAGACACTAATGCCAACTATACTATTTTTGTACCTTGTCAGATTGTGCATTTCTTTCTCTGCCCACATACGGATAATCTTTCGTGGATTCAGTTTACTGAAGCGGTCTTTAAATCTGTAGTCATCTTTGATGTATTTGTCACGGTTCTTGAATTCATTAAGGGTAGTTTTAAAAACTTTTATGGCACATTCTGGAGGTACAGCTTTATCAGCCTCATCACTCGTACTTGTGACAGAAAAAGACCACAACATAGGACAAAATTAATGTTTAATTTACATCTAGGTCTAGGAGCACAATCAATGATTTTCTTAAAAAAAAAAGTGTTCTAAGATCACGCAGAAAAAAAAAAAAACCATTGCACACAATACTGAAGTTAAATTTTTAATGGAAGTTGTCCACAAAAAGACTGCAGAGCTCCCTGGCTAAACCTGGTTCTTAAATTAATTGTAGCATTAGCTTGTGAAGAACTTCAGTTAGGAAGACTGAAAGTTTATCAAATAAGTTTATTCATTTCTAGATTGAAATTGAACTGATAGTCTAAGCATTACTTGGTTAAATGCAACCTCTGTAAAAGATGAGACGAGGAAATCTTTGTAGTCAACCAACCCACTAGCCCCTCTTGTATGGTCTATTTTCTTCCCTTTGTTGATGTTTATTGTAAAGTGGATTGTGTTAAAACCCAGGTTAAAATTTTAAGTCCATTTTTACATAACTTTTTATGATAATTATGGAGCTACCCTATAATAATGGTAGGCCTGGTTATTGGGATGATGTTTATCGCATGAATATGTTTCTTATGTAAACTGATTTATTCTGGAATATAGGCAGGAAGAAGAAGAATGGCTCACATTTAAGAGTTAAGGGACAATGCCAGAATTATTAGCTTTGCTGATTCTGTCTCCAGTCAGCCTATTAAACTGTTTTGACCTGGAAAGGCCAACCCCAGATGCAGGAGTACAAGGACCTCTTGCAGGGTTAAAGGACATTTCAGGTACCTTTAAGAATGTGCTTAATCACCTTTATGAATGGTAGCACTTTATGGAAGAGACTCAATTGTTGATGTTAATTTGTTGTAAAATCTTCTAATGCTTTGTTTCCATCGCTAAATAAAAACAATTATTGGGGTCCTTAGCCACTGTTTGTCAGAAGCTGGGAATGACTATAGGGGCTGGATCATGTGATGATTACCTGTTCTGTTCACTCCCTCTGGGGCACCTGGCACTGGCCATTGTCAGAAGACAGGATACTGGGCTAGTGGACCTTTGCTGCTTCTTTCCACTTTTATACTCCCCATTAAGGTCAGTGTCAGTAATAGATCACTGCTCTGTGCCAGCAACTCATCACACCTGACATTCACTACAGCTCCCACACTGCTGTCATGATATATCATTTGAAAGCTAACACCAAAATGGTCATTAACGTCATGGTGAAATGTGTGCTAGAATTTTGTAGGTGAAATTATGGATACTGTGATATATCCTGAAGACTGTCAGCCAAAAATGGGTTACTTTATATAAAGGGGCAAGAAAAGATGGGGGAAGATGCCCCATTTAGGGAAAAGATTCTATGTATTAATACTGTATAAGGACACTTGGATATCATGCTTTATTGTCTATGTTCAAATAGAGAGATACAAGTTTACCCAGACAGGAGGGAAGGCAGCTATATTCCTGTCTCCAATAACATTAAGCAAGGTGTGAACAAACACAAAGGAAGATATATTTACATAAAATCAGAAGGGTGTAGGAAGGAAAGAACAGCATGAAAACTTTCTGCCTTTTGAAACAAGGCCATTGAACTTTGAGGGATAAGTAAAGACAGAAGCCATTTTCACATTCATCACTAGATAGATAAGGGAATCGAAGACAGTTGGCGCTGAGTCAGTTGGCTCCTTCAACCAACTGGGCAGTGGCTGAAATTAGGGACGTGAAAGGGTAATTGGTTACCCTGTAAGCCCCACCTGGAGCTCCCCCCTCCCGCCCCCATGGCTGCTGGCTAGGAGCAGAAGATGAAATACACCCGAGTGATGTAAGTGACTAGTTGACTACCTGATAAGCATATGCTCAACTAGTCACTCTCTCCCTCCCCCAATGCTTCTATCAGAGAGCAGTTCCAAGCCGGAGGGGGGAAGAGGAGAAGAGGAGCAGGAGCTGTACTGGGGGGAGCCATCTTACAACCTATTTCCCTCCAGCACCATGTCTGGGGGAACAGGGAAAGCAGAGGCGTAGCGGGGGACCTGGCGCAAATTGGGAATCAGCTGATTCCTGGCTTGCTTCCAGTGCCTCCAGCTGCGTGTCTGCTTTTTAAATGTATTAAGAGCCTAGTGGCTCTTAATACGTTTAAAAGGCAGAGCCGCAGTGGGGTTAGCTTCTGGGCTGGGAGTTAACCCTGCTGCAGCTCTGTAGTTCCCCCACTTATCAACTAATCGAGTCGATGGAAATTCCATCAACGACTCAATTACCTCCCTCTCCGCCACAGCTGCTGGCTCCTGCTGCCACCTCCTGCTGGAGAGAGGGTGGCAGCAGCTACCTGGAGGGATGAGAGCAGGATCTTGCTTAATCAGTTAACCAGTTAAACCTAAGCAATAGTGACAACCCCATGTTTGCACCCCAAAGCATGACAATCACATACTTACTTTCCTCCATAAGCATGAAAAACAACAGATTCTTTTCCTGTGCTAATGCAGCCAGTGATGGTCTCTAGTATCCCAGCATTGACCATCTTGTACAAAAGTAAACGTGTTTTAGGATCCACTGCTTTCTCCTACAAAAGAAAAGGAGAAATAAAAGTAAACATGTGAGCAATTTATCTACATTCACTTAAACCTACTGGTATTTCTCAGTTAAAGGATAATCTGATTTGAATCAGCTGGCAAAAACGTGTTTTCATGAACAAATCCAAGAGAAAAAAAAGCAAAAGTAGGTTGGTCTGATTTTACACTAAAGAGCAACAAGACTTACTTTACTTAATACTATTTTTTTTTAAACTAGGGATGTAAAATGCCAGTTAATCAGTTAACCTAACATTTAACCGATAAAGCAGGATCCGGGTTGGGGACTACTCCAGCCCAGCAGGAGCAGCCCCCGGCCCATGGAGACTTGGACTGGCTCTACCAGCTCCCAAACTATACCAGAGCAGCCTCTGCCAGCAGGGCTCTCAGGTCCACTGTAGCAGCCCGTCCATGGCAGGCCTTCTGATGGTGGCAGGCAGGGAGCTACTCCAGCTTCCACCAGTTACCTGGAACCAGTAAGCATCACCCATTTAAGGTGATGCTTACTGGTTAACCTTTCACATCCATAATTTTACAGAGAATTTAAGGTTTTTGGGGCAAGGACCACATATTTTCTGTAATACACAGAGAAGAGCAGTTCCAGCACACTTCACACTTGAGTCTGACAGCTTTACAAACATGAAGCCTAAATACCTCAGATGAGGAAGTTTTATACCCATTTTACTGACTGTTAACACCATGGCAGATAAAGTTTAAAAGATCTGCCCAAATCTACCTAACTCAGGCAAAACAACAACAACAAAAAACAAAAACAAAAACAAAAACAAAAACATCAAGGACACCAGACTAGAATTCATTTCCCTCCCAAAATCAACTGTTTCAGCCAATCAGGAATATCGACTGTTTTCCAAATGCTATTTGAACTTCATCAATTTGTCAACCTGTCTTCCCAAATCTATAGTTATTAAGAGAATTTAAAGTAGTCTATTCCAGGAATCTAGGATTAATCCCAACTTCTCAGGATTTCCTTAACTAAATACTACAGTAAATTACTGTAATACTTAGTTGTAAAGTACATGATCAGCTCTAAGGAATTAAAAGATATAGAAACCCAAGCAATGTTACAAAATAAAAACAGGAATACAAATATTAAACCACGTAACCAATAAAAATTATATCGGTTACACTGTTAACCACTCAACGAGCTATCCTATTCAGAGTTTAACCATTAATTGATAAGCTGATGCTGATCAGTTAACTGGTTAAATTCTAACATCCCCGAAGTAAGCTGGTAATAAAACTTGATTACTCTCATTTGGGAAGCCTACCAAAATATTGCATGCATTTATATGGCAGTTGCAATCACAGTATCTAAGCACAATACATAAGGCTTAGAAGAAAGCAAAAGTTTCCCAGCAGAAGAGTTAATACAAGCTTCTCAGTAATTCCCTAATTCAAGCATTGCTCACTGGGTTTAGCCAAAATGATTACTCTTTTAAAAACATTTCAAAATGACATGCAAGTTGGTACAGAAGGTTTCGTATATAAAATGGCTCAGCATCAAAACATACAGCAGTAGAATGCTCTTTCTTCTCGTGGAGTCTGGCACTTCGACGTTCCTCAGAGTATGCATGTTGCTTTAAGGCATTAAAGACTTGATTGGACAGTTTTAAATCCATTCCAATTCCATCTCCAACCTGGAAGTCAGGTCCAAACTAGAAACAGACAAAGTATTTACAAAAACACTACTACTGAAGACAGAGAAAGATACAGCAAATGAACTAGATTTTGATTCCAATATTCAAGAACCATCTTTTACAATACTTAGCTTCAGAAATAGAAAAGTGGTTGCTGCAGTTAATGGCTTCTGTGATAGTATTCAAGCATTCAACCAATCAAGTTTTAACAAAAGGTTGTAATATACATTTTAAATTAAGAGCTAAGCAATTACTCTCATTCACAATAAGTACTTATCCTATAAAGATAGCACTGGCATGCATTTCTGTATTTCCAATTTCTTTGATGCAACTACGATAATGCAAATTGCTGAGGATAAACAGATTACAAGCCAATGTCCAGCACTAAGTGACAAGAATTCAGTTTGCCTGACCTCAGGAAAGATTTTTTTTTCCTGTTTTTAAGTAATTTGGATTACATGATAGCCATGTTTACCAATGTAAGCTTGATGATTTTCCCCTTTTGTTACTGAACTTACTGATATCTTCGTGATAAAATATTTTATTTCTGTACATAAACATTTTGTATCACTTACATACACTATTACTTGAACAGTCTGGAAGTTCAGTTTTCTACCAATACTAATCTCTGTCAAAAAAACTGATCCAAATGTTTCACGATCTTCATTTAAAATGACAGGTTGAACAACATACACTTCTCTAAAATGCTACAAATATTGACTGAATTAAGACATTTATACATATTATGCTTGCATAAAAAGGTGGAGCTTACATTTTCCATTCGAGCAGTGTTCTTTCTTCCACATACAACCTCATCATGTTTGGTGGTAATTTCTTTTCCTTTTCCTATAAAGCCCTTTTTTGGAGTAGTAGTGGGTTTATCTGCCAACAGCGAACAATGCAAGTCAAAATTTATGTATACACAAATATAGGTATAATATATTTCATGATGCCCACAATAAGCAAGTCAATTACATTATTTTAATTAATTAAAAAGCAAACAAATCCCTTCTGTGAAGAATCCTGCACACCTTGGGGAGTTATAAAACAAGCCCTATGTTACAGTCTGGCACATATTCTGGGAATGAACAGATGATGAATACATAAATCCCCCAAACAGGTAACCTCAATTATCCTGATATTAAGACTAACCAATCAGTATCTATGCTACATATTGGAAATTGAAATCTTCATTACAATGCACTGTCTTTCCAACGCACAGAACCACAGACAACTTAACTTTTAATAAATAAGAATTTTATAAAGGCCACATTTAATCAGAGACCAACACACTAAAAATAGGAGCCTAAAGCTAGGCTCTTACATTCCCAATTAGGCACCCAATAAATAAGCAGCATAATTTTCAGAAGTGCAAGTACTCAATATCTCTCATTTTTAATTTCAGGATGCATTTTTGAGAATCTTGACCTATATAGTACATTTTGTACACACAGTAAATGCAATCCGTACCTGCTCTATAAGGATCATGACGGGTATCTTGCCAGTCAACCTCATCTTCTGAGCTGTCACTATCCACATAGGGATGCACCTTTCGGTAATTTTCAAAGGATATGGAGACTTGGGAAACAAAACAAATTAGATAGTTTGAAATTTACATGCATTCACCACTCCCTTGCAGGTCAATCAATTCAGGGGGCTTTAAAAAAAAAAAAAGTATTTGTTTTTCTAACAAGACTGTCACATCAGATGTTAGTACCTTTGCTATCTCCATTGAACTTTTTTTCTTCACGTCGAAGCTGTGCATCATACTCCCTGTCAAACTCCATTTGTAGCATCTGGGCTAGCACTAAGTCATTTGAGGTGTCAGTATTTTCTTCTGTAATAAATGGCCCTTCAGCAACACTAAGCACAATAAAAAAGGAAATAAATTCTGTTAAAACACACACACGCACAGAGAATAATGAATTCCCCTTAACTTATTCCAGAGAATATTGAATACAGAATCGTTAAGACACTGCATTTAAATGCAAACATTCTCAATAATTAACTTTGGTTATGATTAAGATTTTGTTATGGTTATTTTAAGTAAAAGTCACAGACAGGTTGCAGGCAATAAACAAAAATTCACATAAGCCTGTGACCTATCTGTGACTTTTGCGTAAAATAATGGGAAGGAGAAGAAGCTGAAGCTATCACAGAGGTCACTGAAAGTCAAGGAACCTGTGACAAAAATACTGAACAGCACAAGAAGTCTCGTTTTGTTTTCACTCTTCTCTTCACTATAAAAGATCCAAGATTACCTCTTATGTACAGGCAGTCCCCGGGTTACGTACAAGATAGGGACTGTAGGTTTGTTCTTAAGTTGAATCTGTATGTAAGTCGGAACTGGCGTTTAGATTCAGCCGCTGCTGAAACTGACCGCCAGTTCTGACTTACATACAGAATCAACTTAAGAACCCCAAGCGTTCCCAAGTCAGCTGCTGCTGAAACTGATCAGCGGCTGATTCCAGGAAGCCCAGGGCAGAGCAACTCTGCCTCGGGCTTCCTGTAGTCAGCGCTGGTCAGTTTCAGCAGCGGCTGAATCAGGACGCCTGGGGCAGAGCAGCTGGGGTGCTGCTGGGTTGCTCCAGTAGCGCCGCTCCTCGGCGCTACTGGACCAACCCAGCAGCACCCCATCT